GATATTCTTTGGACTTGGGCAGACATGGCTCTGGCAGCATGCTTGTCCGTTTTCCCACTTTTGTCTGTTCTATTTCCTTGGACTTGGGCAGACATGGCTCTGGCAGCATGCTTGTCCGTTTTCCCACTTTTGTCTGTTCCATTTCCTTGGACTTGGGCAGACATGGCTCTGGCAGCATGGTTGTCCATTTCCCACTTCTGCTCTTTTGGGTATATGCGGAATAAAACTTTCTTTTGCTTTACTAAACTTTATGGTTTTTTCCCCTACAAAAGTGTCTCCGTAGGAGAAAAAACTTCTATCTACTTCTGTAAAGATTACGATCTAGAAAACCTTAATTGCCGTGGAGTGGATTCCGACTCATAGCAACCTTGTGGGGCAGTTCTTCTTTGTCATATAGGGTCGCTTTTGTCACAATCGACTTGACAGCACACTATAACAACACAGAGGAACCCAATTATATTGCAGTAAAGTCATAAAATTATTTTTTAAACTAAAAAGAAAGTTGGTAATGAGCTCTACACATGCTTTTCCTAATTTAACAAATAATGCATTAAATAGCAACAAGGCTAATAAATATCGAAATTTGGAAGTAGTAAGGAAGGCAAAGCATATTTCCAGGTGTCTGCAACAATTGTCATGTGAATTAAAAACACCTATGATTTCTACTGGGGACTAAGGCACAGGTCCTGCTAACCCTGCTTGTTTTGCTGCCTCCATTTATCATGGGAAAAAGGGCTGAATTTCAGCTAGAAGTTTGTAAAAATAGAGGTTATTCTTTCCCATCCAAGCTGAAGTTCCTGAACTCAAATTCTGTTGTCCCCAGGTGAAGAACCCCTGCCCTTCTTACAGCCCCTCCCTGGTGTGAGAATAGGGACACACAGGTGATTCCAGGTCTGCATGATGGGAATGGGTATGTGCATACAGGGTCTGTAGTGCTCGTGGGTGTGTAGCTGTGTGGGTCAGGGCTGTCCAAGAAAGTCGGTATCCCCAAGCCAAGGAGAAGAGAAGGAATGGAGGGATAAAATCTTGAGTGCTCCAAATTGTAGGAGGAAGGTGGCTCAGGAGGAA